GGCCCCGCCCCCAGCCCCCAGGTCCCCCTCTCCGCTCTCTGCCTGCCGCAGCGGCTCTGCCCTGGCGGGACGGCTGAGCCAACTCGGGATAATGGTGTCTGCCTGCCCTCATCCGGCTGGCTCATCTTTATCTCCACACACAAAATCAAACTTCTTTTAAGACAAGAAGACAAACAGCCCCGCCCCTTCCTCCTTCCGGGGATCAAGGCTGCGGGGTAGGGGTCCTGGCCCGGCCCTGCAGCCCCCGAGAGGGCAGACTGGGGGCGTGGGTGGCGCTCAGCAGCACCTGCAGGCAGGGGGCCGCGTGCCCAGAGCGAAGCCTCGGAGAGACAGAGATGCCTGCTGCGTGCCAGCGGGACAAGCTCCTCACCCGCAACCGAATCTCGCCATTGTCCGCTCAGCCCCACAGGCGGCGCCTGGGGAGTCCTGCCTGCAGCCCCCCTCTCGGCGCCCTGCCCACGAAGCTTTTCTGGGAAGTGGCTTGTGAGCTGGTCTTTGAACACTGGCTCAGATTTGGGTCGGCACAGGCGGCGCGGGGCACCCGGGCGAGGGGGGCACAGGCAGCGGCAGAGAGGTGGGGCTTGGTGGCGAGTGGCACGCGTGGGAGGGCACAAAGCCAGCAGGCTGAGCTGGGGGCCGGAGCTGGGGGGCTGCACCGGGCCTCTGAGGACAGGACGGTGAGGCATGGAGAGGGCCAGCGGTGGGGGGGGCACTGCCAGTGTGCTGGGCAAGGCTGGATCGGGCGTAGCAGAGGTAATGGGAGAGCGAGCGCAGGGCCCGGAGAGGCCGGGCGGCAGTGGGAGTGGGCGCCAGCCAGCACGAGCGCGACTGGGTGGGGACGTGAGGGTCAGAGCGCCATTGGAAACACGAGAAAAGATGTCGGGGGCCACAGTTCTGGGGCCACCAATACCCAGGGGCTGCGGAAAGGTGAAGCGGAGGCGCAGCATCGCCGGAGGGGCCGGGGAGGCCGGGCAGGGACCGAGGGGCCGTGGCCCGCGGGGTGACCCCGCCCTTGGGGGCTGGCCGGCACACCTGCCGCCGCGCGCCCCCTCGCCGCCCCTCACCCAGCCGGTGGCAGGGACCGTGCGCGGCCCGCGGGTACCACTCCGCCAGGCCCCGCCCCTTCCCCCGGAGGGCGATTGGCCGAGGCGCCTCCCGTCGCCATGGCAGCATGCAGCGCCCCGCCCCTCCACGCCTTCCTCTTCGCGAGCGACGATTGGTGGCCGCCTGCCGTTGCTATGGCAGCATCGAGGGCTGCAGGTGGCTCTCCCGGCCCTGCCCCCTCCCCTCTCCCGCGCGGCCGGGGGTGGGAGGCGGGCCTGGCTGCGTCCCCATGACAACCGGGGACGCGGTGGTGCTGGCCGTGGCCGGGACTTACCTGCTAGAGACGCCTTGGAGGTCGAGGCTGGGGCGAGGCCATGTCGGACCTGGGCTCGGAGGAGTTGGAGGAGGAGGGGGAGAATGATCTTGGGGTGAGAGCTCCGGGGGGCCGGGGGCCGGGTTAGGAGACTGGGGAGACCAGAGACCAGTGGCATGCCCAGCGGGACGCCTGGGGGAGGAGGACCCTGCCTGCCGGTCACAGCTGCCCTGGCCCTGAGTCCTGGCAGCCGCAGCCGGAGGGCGTGAAAGGTGAGACGCGGTGACGTCTGTCGCACATCCCTGCTCCCCGGCACCCCTTCCTGTCTCCCGTTAAAGGCGAAGGTTTCCGAGGAAAAGGCCCTAGGGGCATCCCCTGGCCAGAGCGGGTTGGCTCACCCTGCGGGTCAGCCCGTTGAGTAAGTCAGCTGGCCAGGGAGCTCTGCGTCCCGGGGGCTGAAGGAAGCTGCTTCCTGGCAGCTTTCAGACAGTGCCAAGGTCTCAGCCCCAGACTCGGGACTGGCAAAGATGGCAGAGGAGCCGCCCCGGGAGGTGCTGGACGGGGCTCTGCTCAGCGCCCGCTGACCTTCCTGGGGAGAGCCGCCTCGGGCCCCCACGCAGGGCTCCTGTGCAGGAAGTGGCTTTCCTGGGGCAGCGCAGGCCAACCGACCCCCGCCGCGCCACTGCAGACCCACGAAGAGCTGGGCCCTCTTCCCCACGAGGGGTGGTTGTTTGTGGTGAAGGATCGGCCGGCAAGGCGCGAGCTCAGGGGGCAGGGAGAGCCCAGTCGGACAGGGCTCGCCCCCGTGGGACCGGCGCCGTGGGGCCAGGCCTGCTGCCCGCGTGGGGGTGGGCCCACTCGCGGCTCGCACCTGCGTTGGGTAATGGCAGCCAGCCTGACCCGGTGTCTCTTGCCCAGGAATATGAAGGGGAACGGAACGAGGCGGGGGAGCGTCACGGGCACGGGAAGGCGAGGCTGCCCAACGGAGACACGTATGAAGGCTCCTACGAGCGCGGTCAACGGCATGGCCAGGTCCGCCCCGGGCAGGGTGCGGGCTTCCTCTACTGCGTGCTCTGGCGGCGTGGGGAGGGCGTGAGCACGGCGTCGCTGTGTTTCAGGGCGTCTACAAATTTAAAAACGGGGCCCGGTACACCGGAGAATACGTCATGAATAAAAAGCACGGCCAAGGCACCTTTATATACCCAGACGGATCGAGATACGAAGGTAAGCCGAGGCGGGGTCCCAGACAGACCGGCCGGACGCCCCCAGATCGGCCAGTCGTCCCACAGACACTGTGTCCACGTGCAAGGAACCTAGAGGCCTGTTTGGGGTAACTGACCCGGAGACTTGGGCGCTCCGTGGGCAGCGCCTGCCCCGGCCGTGGGCTGCGGCCTGGAGTGGCCTTGGGCGCCTGCAGGGCGGCTCGGAAGCTGCGATGGCGCTTCTCCATCCCGCCCACCCCCAACGGCCACAGCTTCTCTGCTCTGGCCCCTTCCCACGCTTCTACACCGGGGCCTGCAGGGAGCCGTCTCCAGCTCACGCGGCGCCCATGCTCCGCTCAGAAGGTGTCGGACGCCCCTCGCGCCCCACACTGCAGCCAGCCCATTCCGCGGCCCGCCCACTCCGCGGCCCGCCCACTCCGCGGCC